ATGCTAGACATCTGCCAAATTACACAAATTTCTCCTTCAATATTAATGATCAAAAAATGCAAATTAATAGAGTGCCCAACATAAAATACCTTGGAGTGGTCTTGGATCCTCACTTACGATGGGACATCCATGTCAATTATATTTTAAAGAAAGTTAGATTTGTATCCTACAAAATTAAATACCTTGGGAATATATTGACAGAAAAATATCTTCGAACATTATACCATGCACTGATTGAGCCTCATATCACATATGGTATATTAGCATGGGGAGCTGCATGTTCCTCACATATCTATAATTTAGATGTTTTTCAAAAAAGTATTCTAAAAATGATATTTAAAAAACCGAAACTTTATCCCACTGAAAAATTATACGCAGATGTTCGAATGTATGATATAAGACAGCTTTATTTCTTACACAGTATCACTCACTACCATAAATTTGTAAACACCGACCAAAAAATTAAACATAATCATTATACCAGGTACAAAATTCGTGGCACAGTAGTTCCTCAACCGCATACATCTATAATGCAGTGATCATATCTCTATTTAGCGCCTAAATTTTATGAAATTATACCTAAAGACTTAAAAGATTTACGTTTCGGAAATTATTTCAAAAGAAATTTAAAAAAGTGGTTACATTCTATATCTAGGACTGAAATTTCATAAACTCATAAATACGAACATCAACTAAATACATAATCTACTGTAGCTAATTTTTGTCCTTTTTTGTCATTCGCATTCTACAGTTTCAACTTAAATTTATTGGTCCATGTACAGGCGATGCCTTCTATTGGGCCTGTTTTGATTTTATATTTATTTACTCATATTGTTTGTTATCTTTGTACATTGAGTGAATAAATATTATTATTATATTATTATTATTATTATTATTCATTCTCACTTCAGATAAGATTAAACAGCACTAGGCCGCAACAATAAAAAAAGATGAAAAGTAATCGCGTTAAAATAATAAGCGTCTGATGTCTACGCATTATGTTATTAAATTCACATTCATAACATACTGTGTGAGCTGTCGGCATGCGATAAATTACATTTATTAACGCAAAGGCAGTAACACGATAATAACAGGCACTCAATCCTCTTATACTAAATTATTTAATAATACCTAAAAAACCATCATACGAGAAAATGGCCATTTCCTGTTTCCAAGATTTATCATTCATCATGCTTCATCTTAGAAAATCGAAGTATTTCCTCAGCTTGGATTTTGTTGTCATTGTTCGCATCATTAACTCAGTTAATTGCGGTGTATTGATGACTAATGGTTGAGTTAATTGGTGTATGTGTATAATTTGTTTAAAGTATTTCTTTATTCTGTCAACATAGAATGTTATAAACAAACTGGTAGGTATTCAATTTTTCCGGTTCACTTGGCCGTCAGTAATCATCGATGTCAGGAATTGGCTTCGGATTAGACATTATTCAAGCATAGAGGTAGAATGGAAGTGAAACCAATTTTTCAAATTTAAAAGAGTTCTATAAAAAACGGCTTCTAAACACATAGGAGCTTCCGTCAAATCAACGACGATATGCACCTTGACAATATATCCTTTCAACACATATTTGTATAACCACCTGTCATATGGCGAGATATACAGGGTGTCCGGAAAGTTGGGGTTTTCCTTTACACGACGTGTAGATCTTGAAAACATAAGCAATTTTTCTTAGTACCATATACACCAATGTCTTAAGGGAACCGAGATAAAGGGCTCTGCAACATCAAAAATATCCTAATACCGTCCTGTAGCCGCGACCCGCGACGTCACCGAGTGGTACAAGGTCACTGGCTCAACCCGACGACAGAACTGGGTCGGGGTCAGTGTGTCAGGTCAGTATGCAACCTTCAACCGACGGTTACGGTCACGCGTGTAGAGGTAATCGCGTAGACGAGAATCCCTCAACAAGCACTAGAGACGTGGCTAGAGAAGTGCAAGTATCAAAAACTAATGTGTGGCAAACGCTGCGTGAAGAGGGGCTGTATCCGTTTCACGTCCAACGTGTACAAGCCCTTCAACCTGACGATTTTCCAGCAAGAGTGCGGTTTTGTGAGTGGTTGTTGCATCAACATGACAATAATCCTGACTTTTTGAAGTGCATATTGGTGACAGACGAATCTACGTTCACGCGTAATGGGGTGAATAACTTTCGCAACACTCATGTTTGGTCAGCAGAAAATCCGCACGCTGTCCGTCGGGCACATTTTCAACAAACATTTTCGGTGAATGTTTGGCCTGGCATGGTGAACGGTATGCTCATTGGACCATTTATTCTCCCAAATCGATTGGACGGGATGCAATACCTAGACTTTTTACACAGCGTTTTGCCTTCCTTGTTAGAGTTAAGTGTAAGACAATCAATGTGGTTTCTACACGATGGTGCACCGCCCCATTTTAGACGCGAAGTGCGTGAGTTTTTGAATGAATTATTTCCGAATAGGTGGATCAGACGTAATGGACCCGTAGCGTGGCCTCCGCGATCTCCAGACTTAACACCATATGCTTTTTTCTTTGGGGAGAAATGAAACACTTAGTGTATAAAACTGAAGTGCATACGGTTGACGAACTTTGTCTCAGAATTGAACAAGCTGGTGCTTTCATTCGGGGGAGGGACTCCATTCTCAAAGCCTGCACCGATGCTTGGCTACGTCGTGCACGCACCTGTGTTTTTTAATCAAACGGCGATAACTTCGAACAATACCTATAAAGTACGTTTACCTAAAAACGCCTTCATATTTGTTACCTCTGTTCGTGGTATGCACCACCCCCTGCGTCTGCTCGGTAGCGCATCAGCTGATTTCATTTTCTGTTGGAGCGGTATGATTTCGGGCAGAGACGTATTTAGCCCTTCTCGTCAACTGGAGAGTGAGTACTTTTTCCTTTATTTTTTTTACTTGGTCGCCCTCGTTTCACTACACATTATCTTTGTTATTTCAAGGGTAGTTGTTTCTGAAAAGGAAAACCCCAACTTTGCGGACACCCTGTATTGTGGAACTGTCATAATCATGTCTCACTAATAGCTGTGTCATTTTTTGTGAAGATTTCTCGAGGATACAGTCTATTTAAGCAATCCAGAGACAACTAATTGAAGGATTTTCCAAATTTGATGGTTTTATTAAAAAAATAAAACCTCAGCGCGTGTTTTAAATTTTGGACTAGACTTTGTGAGATACGAAAATTTCCTTTAGCTGCGTACAGATCGAAAATCCAACGCCGAGCAAACAAATGCAAGCACATGTGACGTTAGCGTTTGTTATCGGAAGGTATTGGAATGTGCTCGTTCACACCTACATTTAGTTTCGAGTTGGACCGCCTTGGGTGAAATTCGGTGCTAATGTCAAGCGATGATACTCTTCTCATCGAATGCAGACAAACGACTTGATACTAATGGGTGATTTTTTTGCTGGTATCTTTTTGGCAACACTGTTTTTGACAGATGACGCGTGAATCGTGTCTTCTGTCATTGTCAAACTTGTTCAGTTTGGGCTATAATTTAACCATGACTCGACTTACGAACGAACAACGCTTGCAAATTATTGAATTTTACTATCAAAATTCATGCTCGGTTAAGAGAGTGCATCGAGCACTGCTTCCAATTTATGGGCAATTTGCTCGGCCTACTGAGGGAGCTATTCGGAAGCTTGTGACTAAATTTCGAACCCAGTTTACATTATTGGACATTAAACCACCAAAACGCAGACGTAGAGTGAGGACTGAAGAAAATATTGCGGCTGTATCCGCCAGTGTTAGTGATGACCGTGAAATTCGCCGCCGTTCGCAGCAATTGGGCCTCTGTTACTCCACTACATGGTGTAAAACCTTATAAGATACAGCTGGTGCAAGAATTAAAGCCACACGACCTCCCACAACGATTCCAATTTGGAAAATGGGCGCCGGCAAAGTTGGACGAAGCTCATTTCTGGTTGAATGGGTACGTTAACAAGCAAAATTGCCGCATCTGGAGTGAAGACCAGCCAGAAGCATTGCAAGAGCTACCAATGCATCCCGAAAAAATCACTGTTCGGTGTGGATTATGGGCCGGTGGCATCATCGGGCCGTACTTCTTCAAAGACGGCAATGGCCGGAACGTAACTGTGAATGGCGAGCGTTACCGTGCGATGATAACAAACTTTTTTTTGTCTAAAATGGAAGAGCTGGACTTGGCTGACATGTGGTTTCAACAAGACGGTGCCACATGCCACACCGCACACGAAACAATGGCCGAGTTCGGTGAACAGTTTATCTCACGTTTGGGGCCCGTCAATTGGCCGCCTAGATCGTGTGATTTAACGCCGTTGGACTATTTCTTGTGAAGCCATGTTAAGGCTAATGTCTACAGGGATAAACCAGCAACAATTGACGCACTGGAAGCCAATATTGAAAGATTTATTCGTGAGATACCGGCCAATATATTGGAGAGAGTGTGCCAAAATTGGACCTTGCGCATGGGCCATCCAAAGCGGAGCCGCGGCCAACATTTACATGAAATCTTTAAACATTAAATTACATCGACCGTTCTGTCGACTCAAATAAAGATTTAATCGTTTTTTCAAATTTTTTGTGTTTTTTTTAAATCAAATCCTATACCTCTTAAAAAATCACCCGTTAGAAGCGCAACAAATCCTGTCCAGACCAAATCAAACCTACGTTTGATGTACCGATCTAGGAGCGAACGCAATCGAACGCCAACACTACCTTGAAAATGAAAACCGTTAGTTTATGTTGGCTCGCGCCATACACACCGATTCGAACACCTCCAAATCTTTAACCACATGTGCCTTGGTTTGCGATGGATTCTCGGTCTGTACGCGGCCTTAGAGTCTGGATACCATCAGACATTGTTGACTGTTCACGTCTTAGAGCCCATTGTTTCATACTGTGCTTACTAGACAGCACATATCAACTCAAATATTAGTGTTTGTACATTTTCTACATGTTTTCCATTGTTCATTCATCGCAGTGCTGCCTGGCGACGGTACCACACAATATATCACCTTAGAATCAACAATGAACCTGTCGCATGTCGCGGTTAGGCTACCATCGGGTACCACTTCTGACTACGCGTTCTGCGCTCGCGAGTTACTTAAGTCAGTTCACAATTACGCGTTGCTATGGCAACACCATCAACGGCGCACCTCTTCTGTTTTTCGATCGTCGATTGTTTCGCGTTCGCGTGTGCCGCACTCTAGATCGTGAGGTGCGTATAAGCGTGCGTGTCGCGTCAACGTACCGCGTGCGTGAGGTGTCTTAGTTGTTTTTGGTTTGAGCCGGAAGGATATTGAACAGTTTTTTTGGAAATGAAGCGCGGCTGTTAAACTCGTGCGGAGGGTGTTGTTCGGATTTTTTGTGGGGTTGTGATCTTGAAGTTGAAGTTGTTAGTACTTGAGGATCTTGGTGGTTTTGTGTTGGAATGAATGGCAACTGAATTGATTTTTTAATTTGATGCAGCATACTCTTCACTTAAACGGCATTCAGCTTTAGTGACATAATCTCCCTTTAAGTTCAAGTAGTTGTAAGACGATGATAGAACGATAAAATTATAAAACAACAATACCACTTTACAAGCGTACGGAGTAGTACCCTTTACCTTTTCACTTTTATTACGAGGGTAGTAAATAAACAACTTATCGAGAACGTCACTGCCCTGTCCATGGTCAGGGGAACGTGAGCTTCCTCCAGCATCGAAGTTACGTCTAGATTGGATACCTTAATAATCTGCTAACGATTGTTTCGGAAAACAACCCGTAAACTAGGATATCACTTTGCCGTGTCAATACTCAAAAGCTCCGCCGTTACCTCTGATACAGAGACAACCGAGCAACTTGACAGTTGTAAAGTAACAATCCCTATACACAACCTGCCATGCGATTGCCACAAGAGGAAGCTAAGCGGTCACTCAGACCTCGGATATCACATCGGCCAAAAGCCGTTTTGTCAATATGCAAAACGCTTCGACATTTCCCCTGACAGAGGAAATCGAGCAGTAATTACCCCCCTGGCAACGCGGCTCTGTAAGTCTCATAACCACCCCGCAGGATCTGAAGGCGTGACCCTTATGCATGTGATTGTCCAGGAAAGTAAACGCATACATGTATTAAAACAAGAAAGATTGATATTGAAATCAAGTTGGGTACTTTATTTTGAAGGTTCATTTATACCATTTATGTATGAAAAATAATATCGCTCAAATGTTCACCACGACTGGATTTACAGACGTCCACGCGATGGTCGAAATTTTCAATGACATTTTGCAACATGGTCGGTTCTATGGCATTTATCTCGGCAATGATGTTGTTTTTGAGTTCTTGGAGGGTGGCTTCCAAGGGAGTCAAATCGCACGATCTTGGTGGCCATGGCACATTTCCTCTGTGCGAAATCACGCGATCACCGAAGAAGGACTGCAATCGATGGATATTGTAGTTGGTTGTGTGGCATGTTGCACCGTCTTGTTGGAAATAAACATCGTCCATATCCATTCCTTCAAGTTGCGGCAAAAAATAGTCCTCTATCATCACGTGATGCGGAGCAAACTGGTTCTCGAAATGCCCAATTCTTGGGATCGACGCGTTGTTGATTGTGCCGGATCGTCTCTCACACTCTCCTTCACAACAGCAATATTTTCCGGTGTGCGAACGCTCCTTGGCCGGCAGATTTGCCACAGAACCTGTTGCCTCGAATTTACGCACCAGACGACCGATGGTTGTTTCGTTTGGGCGGTTGTTGCGACCGAAATGTTCACGAAGCGCGCGGAACGTGTTTTTTATTTTTGCACCATTTTTGTAGTGCTCTTGAATAACTTTAACGCGGTCTTCAATCGAATACGACTCCATAGCGATCAATGGTAAACATTCAACTAACAAAATGACATGTCGGTGACAGAAAACAAAGATGGCGTCTATGTCAAATTGACGTTTACTTTCCTGCGTCCCTATTGGACAACCCTATAGATGTTTGAATCTATCTTAACTATGATAAACATATACAGGGTGTTCCATAATTATTGCGACAAAATGATAGGGGTTGTAGAGGGCATAAAAATATGCAATTTTGCCTTATAAACCCCTGTTCGTAAATATGCCGTTTGAGCACTACAGTTAATTTTACCTTAAGAGCTCATAGGAGAAACAAAAAATTCACCAGCTGCAAAATGTTCGTCTAGCACGTTTCATGGTCTCACCGGTTTGTAAAAAAAGCCTGCTGTGTTTACATTTTTGTTATCGTACACCCGTACCACCTTTTAAAAGTCCAAGCCATGGGTCCAGCAGACTATCTGCCGCGTAGACGTTTTTGCCGTTGGTGGCTGCAGCAGGAGTTGAGGCAACCAAACTTTAGTCGCTACGTTTTGTTCACTGACGAGTCCTGTTTTACAAAGGACGGTTATTTTAATAGCCATAACAGTCACATTTGGGATGAAGAAAACCCTCATGCCATAGCCATCCATAGAGACCAACATCAGTTTTCAATTAACATCTGGTGCGGCATTGTGGACGAGCATATCATCGGGCCATATCTGCTTCCACCACGTTTGGATGGGCATGCTTATGGTCGATCCTTACAGCATGTACTACCGGAACTATTACAAAATGTGCCACTGAATATAAGAGCCAACATGTGGTTTCAACACCATGGCGGTCCAGCCCACTTTTCTTTACAAGTGCGGCAGTATTTGGACGACAAATTTCCAAATAGGTGGATAGGCCGAGGTGGCCCTGTGCCTTGGCCTGCGCGGTCACTTGACCTGACCCCACTGGATTATTTTATCTGGAGCTATCTGAAAGCTTTAGTGTACGAAACTCCTGTTCCCAACCAACAAGAGCTACTGGGAAGAGTGATGGCCGCGTCCGCACATGTTCAGGACATACCGGGGGTATGCCACAGAGTTCGCCGATCATTGAACAATCGTGCACAGCTGTGTATTGAGCAAGGTGGAGGACACTTTGAGCAATTACTGTAGGTAAGCTGTTTCAAGAAACTGATCTTTTTTTTTTGCTGCAGCCCAAACGGCATATTTCCGAACAGGGGTTTATAAGGAAAAATTGTTCATTTTGATGCCCTCTACAACCCCTATCATTTTGTCGCAATAATTATGGAACACCCTGTATATATATTTATTGACTATTTTTGACTTATGACAATTATTATCGTGATTATAAGGGTACCATGGTTAGAAAATACATAAGGCATGCAGTACAGCAAAACAATAAAAGGTACCCAGTGAAAACCTTTACCGTTTGATTGATCGAACCTTGTCCTGAACTTGATATGGACACTATTCACAAAATCACAGTTCACAGACACTTCGACCTTTCAATAGTTAGGATAGTATCCCAAAGAACTAAGAGTGCCTGTGTCTAAGCATGCCCTTGTTTTCGCATATACGCGTGAGATTTACTAGGGTCGTAAGTGGTTGTTGAAATAGGTATGTATGCCAGCAGTGCTTTCCTTAACATTCCAAGTGTCAAGCGAACCTTTTACAAGGTGCAGAACAGTGTCTAAAATATTGTGTATGCTTACAAAAATCTTTCCAAAAAATATTTCTTTAAAAATCTTCATCCCCCTCTAGAATTTAATTCCGTTGTAAATTTCGCCTACTACACGGTCGACTTTTTTGGATAGTCTGTATTGACTTCATCTCGATAAAAGTCAGCACAAAAAATTTCGAAGTTTGATTATTTGTTATACAATTTTATTACGGATAAGAAACTATTCAAAAGTCATAAAACTAAATGTATTTTAAGATGCAAATCTGCTCTAAAACGTTTACAATATCCTCTCCCTGAATAAATTTCACATTCGAGACCGTTTCTACGAAGTGAACTGAACCATTAACATCTAATTGATTGCTATTCATATGCTTAACATGGCATTAAAGTTCCTCATTTTCAAATCTTGCTTCTCTAAACCTATCGCGTTGATTTAACAATTCCAATCGGTACTGAATTAAAAGACCCATTGGCGTACATTACGTAAAGGGGTTTCCCTAAGAAAGCAATGCCTTTTGCATAGAAGAGGGTATTCTAGCTTGAATAGCTAAGATACAAAGCAAATGATGCAATAAATATCGAACCAGAAAGAGAATTTGTTCTGGGTACAAGAGTATTGCAAGATAACAAAACTCATTACAATATTAATATAAACTACTTACAATGTTGTCGTCCGTTCTCAGATCGAGCAGTCCCAAAAACATCTTTAAACGCAAAGGCAAAAGATGTGGTTCCCCCACCTCCTTAATATAACACACGGTGATTTTGTTGCCTCTGATGAACACCAAAGGTAACCTGCTTAGCAATAGCCCCCGATACTATGATGTATCCATAAGAAATTTGAGAAACACGTTTTTCAACTCGCGCGGCCATCGGGCATCCCCAAACAAAATCTGGATTCATCACTAAATATGGGGTTGTCCAAAACGGATGCAGGAAAGTAAACGCATATTAAAACAAGAAAGATTGATATTCAAATCAAGTTGGGTACTTTGTTTTGAAGGTTCATTTATACCATTTATGTATGAAAAATAATATCGCTCAAATGTTCACCACGACTGGATTTAGAGACGTCGACGCGATGTTCGAAATTTTCAATGACATTTTGCAACATGGTCGGTTCTATGGCATTTATCTCGGCAATGATGTGGTTTTTGAGTTCTTGGAGGGTGGCTGGTTTGTTGACGTAGACTTTGTTTTTCAAATATCCCCATAAAAAGAAGTCCAAGGGAGTCAAATCGCACGATCTTGGTGACCATGGCACATTTCCTCTGCGCGAAATCACGCGATTACCGAAGAAGGACTGCAATCGATGGATATTGACGTTGATTGTGTGGCATGTTGCACCGTCTTGTTGGAAATAAACATCGTCCATATCCATTCCCTCTAGTTGCGGCAAAAAATAGTCCTCTATCATCACGTGATATCGCTCAGAATTGACGGTAACGGCGTCCCCGGCCGCATTTTCGAAAAAGTAAGGTCCGATGATGCCTTTTGACCACAATGCACACCACACAGTCACTTTTTAAGGATGCATCGGCTGCTCTTGATACTCACGGGGATTTTCGTTCGCCCAGATGCGGCAGTTTTGCTTGTTTACCGTCCCATTCAAAGTGAAATGCGGTTCGTCGCTGAACATGATTTTTGATGAAAAATTGGCATTAATTTGGCGGTGTTCAAGGAGCCAATCTGAGAACGTTCGACGCGAAAAATGGTCGGCCCGACGCAGCTCTTGCGTCAATTGGATCTTGTAGGCGTGTACATTCAAATCCTTGTGGAGAATGCGGAGCAAACTGGTTCTCGAAATGCCCAATTCTTGGGATCGACGCGTTGTTGATTGTTTCGGATCGTCTCTCACACTCTCCTTCACAACAGCAATATTTTCCTGTGT